ATCCAGTCTAGTACAGTCATACAGGAGATGTTTGCTCACTGTTGTCGTCTCACATTTTGTTGTCAGTTAAATCTGAATAGATAGGTACAATTTTGGCCGCTCCGTGTCCTGGCAAAAATTGTGTTAGTTTGTAGGATAATTTTTTTTTTAAACTTTTATTATGATATTTACAACTGTATTAGTATGAATACATCAAGTAAATGTGTACAGAGGAATATTATCACATGAAACACGCTTGTTGAGAAACTACCCATTGGTAGCACTCTAATAATTTGTCTACATGAGAAGATCACGAGGCCATCTTCTCTTTTCAGACGCCTCGGAGGGTTATCAGGAATCGAAGAGGAAGCAAGGTTAGAAACAAGAGGATTCGGATGGTTATGAAGTTTATTATGGAAGGATAGGTATCTGGATTTGGCCAAATCGGAAACATATGGAACATTGAGGTCTTTATGGATTATTTTATTAGTGACAAAGTAAGGAGCATTGAGGATTTTACGATGGATTTTGGATTGTAAGGATTGGAGGATAATTTTTTTAAGTTTAGCTCTTTGTCCTAATTTTTTAACGTAGTTGTAAGTGTGTCTGCCTATTGTCGATGTCGCCCAGATTTGGTCCCATGCTTGTCTTGTTGCCGTTCTTAGGAAATATCTGAGCACGCTGGTCGGTGCCTTGTTGAATATTATCGGGAGTGCGTTGTCCCTTTCCGCAGCCTTAGCCGCTTCGTCCGCTAGCTCGTCCCCCAAAATGCCAGTGCCTTTACCCATTTAAATTAAATATTTATGCCTTGGCTGTGGCAACAGATCAACGCTCGCCTGATCTCCTCGACGAGTTTTCATGTATATTTATGTTCTTTAGTTTATTGTATTGTGATTTTGCTATCAGTATGTATACAATATTTAGTCTTGTTGTCAGAGTTCTTAATGTAGAGAATGGCCTGTAACATAGCAAAAGATTCTGCATGATAGTTTGAACAGAAACGTTCTAGCCTGAAATGCTGTGCATGTAATAGCTGTCCTCCATCGATGGCTATATTTTTGGTTTGTGAATAAATCTTTCACTCATTTTCCGTGGAAATATTTATTTCCCACTTAATAATAAAAAATAACCATTTTTTTTTTTCTAATCTCCATTATTTTCTACGACTTTATATGTTTAATACTAAAATTTTTAGCTTTCCAACGGTTACTACTGCTCTTATTTCCATTTATTAGTTTTCAACCTGCTAAAATGTTTCTCCCATTTTCTCCAAAATTTAATTATCAAATTCTTTCATAGTTCATATATATCCATTTAACACTAAAGCTGATAATGAGTGGACTTTAATTATTTCTAATAACCAAAGTTAAAGTTAATTTAGAGGAAGACTTTTTTTTTTTTTTTAGGGACTTTAAGCTCCTTCAGACTATTTTAGTGAGGATATCAAATAGGATATATGCCTAACTGATATCAAAGATCATTTAATTTTACATCGGAGCAACGTATTTAGTCAAAATCGTAGCACATCGTAGAAGCATTTTCGAGAAAAAAAATTTTTTTTTTTTTCATTGGCCCATATTTGTCATTGTGAATGATCTTAGCTAAATACTCAAACAATCACAGTATGTTCTATTTTTTAAAAATTATAATGGATATACAGTTACTAGATATAATCATGTCTTATAAAAAAATACTAAAAAATTATTTCTAGAGGTATTGTTGTTCGTGTAATTAAACTTTTAATAGGACTTCAAGAATCACTTAAATACCATTTCATATAGATAGTTACTTTCTTTCTCATTATTTCCAAGTAATTCTCGTTACACTAAAAAAATAAAAATAAAATAAATAAATAAATAAAAAAAAAATAAAAAAATAAAAAAATAAAAAAAAAATGTTAAATTCAAAACTCCGTCAAAATGTACCCCCTCCCCTCAAAAATTACGGTGGTGCAAGTTGCGCTCGATTTTTCGGGGAATTTCGAAGACTGTCAATCAATATTTTAAACAGACAGCGATGAAGTATTTTCGCCTGGAATGTCTGCCTATAAATACTAAAACAACAAAAATTTGGTATTTAATTATTTTAATGTTCATGAGCTCTTTGAAGAAATGAAATTTTATTTAATAACAGTAATATTTTTGAAGTTTATGGTAATTCATTGTCGTCACTAATAAATAAATGATTCATATCAACCTACGATCTTGTATATATTAAATATTTCTCTTATATGAAGGAGTCAATGGCTACTTGAGAAAACAATGATTTTGTCTTTACGAATCCCTTTCATAATTTATGGTGGATAAAGAAAATTCATGTCATCGCGACGATGTATCGTTCTTTGAACAGTTTGATTAAGAACTTAAAAATACGTTTAAATTATCTCTCGAGAACACTTAATAGTTGATTTCGTATGATAATATCATTGCCTTCCGTTAAAAATAAAAAATAAATAAAACTTGGACAGAAACTGTGTCTATCACATACCCGTGAAGCTATAAACACGTATAATTTACTCAGTGTTTAATTTTGGGCAAAACAAATTTATATATTACAGTTAAAATAAATTGTATTCACTGAATGTTAGCTTAAAATATAAAAGGTCTATGATAGGTTAACTCCTCCCATTGGCTAGTAGCACCGTTTACCAAAATTCTTTTACTTAAATTTTTTAAACATTCGGAAAAATACAAAAATGTTTTGAGCGACAATCGCACACGAAAGAGAGCCGATAAATGAACTTATCTCAGCTCGGTGTGCTGTGAGTGGTGACGTCACATTAGACATTGGTCAAATTCACTCGTTTATTGTACTTAAGACCAAAAATTCTTTTGGAAATCTCTAATATAATATTTTCTCTGTTAAATCAAAGCAAATTCTCCTATCCTTCCACTTAAGGGAGTGGATTCATGAGCATTTCAAAATGACACCAAAAGCATCTTGAAATGTTTCTTTGCTGAGACCAATAGAGGTGCGTTTAAACATTTCACAAATTATGGGAAAAAACAAATATATAAATGTTTTTTTCCTATGCTAATGTTTTTGTTTCTTAATTTTGATGTTTTCGTTCTGCTGTCTGCCCATCCCCCCTCCAAGGTCGATGTCGCATAATCCTCCCTTCTTTCCACAAATTTTTATTTATCTCCTGTAATTAGAAAAAATCTGGTGCGCGCATCACACGACTTTCACTTATCTTCTTAGCAGAAATAAGTATTTTCAGACAAAGGGAAAGTGAAAGTAAAAATTATTGCCACTTTATTTATTTAAAATTCATTGTGGGTATTTTTATTTGTTTAAATACCCTTATATATACAAATTGTAATTTTTATATCTCTGTATTCTATAAAATTAAATATTAAATAATACCAACGATAGCATTTATAAAAACCGCATATGCATATGAACATAATATTGTCGGAGTCCGTATTATATAAATCTTATGTTACTTATTTGTAATAGGGTAATAAGAGAAATAAAATAAATAGTTTGGTTTAGCGCTAGTGTCACTATTAGTTATGTTAGATACTTGTGTTTCCCATAGTTTTTGAAATGTCTAAAAGCACCTAAATAGATAAACTTATTTCTATGTTAAAATTGAAGCAATGGTACTTTCTCTGATAAAAGATATTTTACTATTTAAGTTAATTTTTTTTTACGGTGTTAAGATTTTAAACAAAACTTATCTTATCCGGACTTCTAATAAAATTAAAAATACTGATGTCATCTATGTCATCTATCAATCACTCAGGTTTCAAACTTAAACTCCACCTATGACATATCCATATATAACATATCCTCTACCTATCCCGTTTCCAAAATTAATATTAAAGAATTTACTGACCTTTTGGTTTTAGGAGATAGTTATTGAACCGCAGCAAAGTTGTATGTTCAAAACTGCTTTATTTATTGAGTTAAACTGTGTCAAGTACACTAAGTTGATGTCAATTAGTGCATATTTTCTCATGGATAAACCTACAGTTACATATATAACATTATTAATGAATTGATTACACTTATATTTGCTTACTTGAGATTATTTCAGACCAGGTTTACAAATTTTAAAATGTAGTATGAACCTAGGGTGATAATTGTAAGAAAAAATGTTCACTGTAGTCTTAATCCATCCTATTGTGATGTCTTAGGCAACAAAAGACCAAGCTGCTAATTTAGCAAGGAAGCGAGGGGCACCAATCACAACTGCCATAAATTATATCACAATAGAATATTGAATATACGAGACTAGAAAAAAGTAATTTGAAAATTGGAAAAATAAATGGAAAATTAAACAGTATACATTATTAGAAATTTAAAAAAGTGCAACAAATGGACTACAAGCACTAGAAAATCCAGAAGAGAGATAACCATATTGTGCTGAATACGGATTGATCACTGCCTATTTATGCATGGGTACCTTGTCAGGGGTCTAAACGCACCCATGCATCAAAAATGTGGCAGTAGGCCACATTCAGTGGAACATCTATTAGTTGAGTGCCGCCAGTTCGAACAAATCCGACAAAAACTACAATTAGCAATGACAATGAAGGAAATATTGGGATGCAATGAAGATAGACTCACTACTCTGTAAAAATACTTAATAGAAACTAAGTATTATGACAGAGTATAAAAACTAACCACTAATGACCCTCTAGGGTAGAGGATATTACAAATAAATAAATACTTTTCTTGATATATCTATCGTCTAACTAATTTAAATCATTTCCCATTGTGGTTTGTCATTGTTTCCACAGTTTGGTGTTATTAATCTTTTTTTTTTTTTTTTTTATAGTTCATTTAGAGGAATCATTTTATAGAATATAATATAAAAGTTTTATAAACATTTATTTTAAATAAGTTTTGGTTTTAGAAAAACAAATGCTTATTTACATAGTCAGTGAGTAGTCATATTTTTTTGTTATACATGATGTGTTATTATACCTGACTAACCATTAAATATAATAAATTAAAAATCTAATAATAATACAATATTTTAATCATATTTCTCATTTCATGATGTTTCTTAGGGAGGAACGAGCTGATTGCCAGATATATCAAATTAAGAACAGGCAAAACAAGGACACGGAAACAAGTTAGCTCTCATATACAAGTATTAGCCAGACGGAAACTGAGAGAAATACAGGCCAAATTAAAAGTGGTAAGTGATTAATGCTATGATTCAAAATTGGTATTTTTATATACATTAACATGGCAAATTATTGTGAGTAAAGAAAATGAAAGAATTAGTTTAACATTTTGCCATTGAATTGTAATTGTTAAAATTTAGATAAAATAGTTTATTATATGTTTCAATATTCCTTTCATTGCTTCCATACATTATAAATTATTTTGATATTTGATAATAAAATTTTAATTAAACCACTTTAATTGTTCTTATACTGAAGGTTTAATTAAAACAAATGTTAGTTGCTTTCTCATTCTGTAGACTTATGGTAGTTGACCAAATATGATGAAGGAGGAATAACATTACCTACTGTACTCTTTTTATAACCTTTTATGTTGAAATATTTTCATGAAATCTGATTTTTTCTGAGCCGATGGGAACTTCATTTTTTGTTACTCTCTCTAGATCTATATTGTTGTCAAACAGAACTCTTTTTTGGGTTTATCAATTTTAAATACACTAATTATTATTTGTATTGTTATTTTTCAACAATCCTTTTGCAGATTACAGAAATTATCTAATTTAAATCAATCAATGGTCCGATTATAGATTGTCTTAAGTAATATAAAAATAATCATAATTGGTGTTAATCATTCTTGTATTCCTTCTTTCAGCATATCATGCCTGTTTATTCATGTTTGCAATTATCATAAAAACTATTGACCACCATCTTACTAATAAATGGTATAAAACCACTTTTACTTCTAGAAGAATTTATACTAAAGTTATCATTGTTATAATCATACTTCAATGTTTAATCAGATTCAGTTAATATTTAAAAAGGTTGATTTTAAAATGTATCCCAGAATCAAAAAGGTTTTATGATGTTTACTCTTAAATAATTATAAAGTCAATTCATTAAATACAATTTATTTTTCATTTACCTATATATGAAATATATAGTAAAGTATTGTGATCGTGATTTTTTTTTTTTCATTTATTAATCATCATTTATATAATTTATCGTGTTTCAACTATTTTTACATTCATTTCGTCAGAGGATACCCAACATGTAACTGAATTTCTGAGCAGAAATCCATTCTGTATTTCAGTCTATAAGTTTATTTTATTAAAGAAAATGCAGTATTTTTTCCAATACAATATTTATTGTAAGATTCTCATCTGCTTATCATTAAGATGAATCGTATGACATTTATTGAGTTTATATTTGTGAGTTTAAATTAAACTGAAAATTCTTTGTAGCAATTCAATTTATCCTATTGATAGTAAGCACAAACTATGTAATTGTGTGACACAGAAAAAGTATTCCCCATATTTATTTAATCTTGCTTTTGTTTCCCCTTAAAATTTGTTTCACTTTCATGTTGTAGAACCCATTTACTTGAATTTGTTAATATATTCAAGCACATTGCGATAAAACCATCCCAGTTTCTAATAGTTATTTTATACATTATCTAGCCAATAATTATTATGCCTGGATAACTGTAAAAAAGTCATTTTTTGAAACAAAGGTTTGCATTTCTACATCTAGTTGATATTTTTATTCTATAATGATAGCAGAATAGGCGCATGCAATAGGCATTTAAAAGTTTAGCAATCAAACATGATAAGTATGTGGGCCAATCTTCATAAAAAAACACAATGTCCCATATTCTTAGACAATTACATCCCCATCCCCTTATGTATTTGAGGCCCATCAACCTTCTGAAGCCTACTTTTACTGACCAAATGTGCAGGATTGGTGTTCCCATTTGATATAACTTAATTGGGAATCATGTTAAAAATTGTCTTTAAGTTATAAAATTTACAATCTGGCAGGTTTGATTCAAAGATGGAAAGATCTATAGCAAAACGAATTTATTCTGAAATCCTTGAACCTACATCAGTGGTAGGACACTGTCAAATCGACCTAAAAATCTTTCTGGTTATCAATCAATGATAATAATCCTCTCCAAGCTCTGCTCGTAAAGGCAATGATTATAAAAAAAAAAAATCTCAAGAATAAAACAGTTGTAAGACCTTTTTTAATTCTGGGAAAAATGGTGATTTAAGGTACCTTAATTTGTACAATCAACTGTATGATATTTATAATGTATGCATTTCCAGTTAATAATGAGAAAGAGCTAAAAATAAAAAATTTAAATTTGCAATCAAAATCAAACTAATTTCTTATAGCTTTAAATATATATACTTTTTCTGTAGTGCCAGTATATTACATCAAAAAGAGGTTATTTTTATAACATCTGAAAACATTTAAATTTTATACTTCTTTCAAAATTATTGTAAGAGAAACTCTTCAACTCAAATTTTAGTCAAAATAATTAAAAAATAAAGCAGTTGACAATTACTGAATATATATTTGTATGAAATTCTCCATTTTTTATCTTAAAAAATCTTTAAATTATTCTTCTTTTTTAAAAAAAGGAACCAATTTCCCCTCCCCCCCATTAAAAGTAGTTTATGGTCTTCAATAAGTTGTGTGCAATTAATAATCTTGTTAAATCCGCAAAGCAATAAACTAGAATGATGAAACTGTAATTTTTTTAATTCACTGTTAGTAAGTAGTTGGGTGGTGGTTGGTTGGGTGTTTAGGTTGTGCCTACAGATCATGCAGCCAAGGAGAAAGCTCTGCAGACTATGTCGTCTATGTCATCTGCGCAGATCGTCTCTGCTACAGCCATACACAATAAGACAGCAGCTAATCTGGCATCGCTTGGTCTTACCCCTCCTGTGAGCTACCCGACTCCGGTGAGTAACCTGCATCCAACCAACCACTGTCACTGTATAACTTAGCAATTCTAACAAACTAATCACAAAACTAACAATTTTACTCACTCATGCTTACTAACCATTAATTACTGAAATTGCTACTTTTTCTATTGGCTTGGAAGTGTATGTTTTCTAGCTAATATAAATTTAATTTCCATTTACCTTTTTTCTTGATATTTAACATCTTAATTTTTATCACAATATATTATTTGTTACTGGCAATGCATAAATAACTTTTTTACCTACTTCACTATTACTTATCTTGTTTAAAAATAATGTATTATTAATTGTTTTATAATTTAATAATTTACTTCAGAAATGTTATTTTTTTTTTTAATTTTTGGAATTTAATAAAATAAATTTTCCACAAATCATAAATTATTTTTAGTTGAATGCCCTTTAAATTGTTAATTTTCTTCAGATATTTGTAATTTTCATTACAATGTTTTTAAATATTGTCAACTTAATTTTTAAAGCATTAAGATTTGAAAGATGCGTTATAATTTAACAAACATATAGTTATAATTTATACATGAATAGATATATTCAATGTATTGGTAAAAGTAATCTATGCATTAATAAACCTTTTACAATTGAATTAATTTTTAAAAAATTTAAAATAATTTTTCTGTTCCTAATAATAAAAAAAAAATCAAAATTTTTATTTTATATCCATAACCAAATTGCTTTATGCTTTGCATTTAGAAAATCATAAGAATTTAGAATGAATTTTTAAATATAATGTTTTTTATTTATTTAAAGGTTTTGGAAGTGTTTGGTATACAAATTTAGTTTTATATCAAAGGATTAATTTTACCAACTCGAAATACAAATAAATAAGAATCAACTGTTTGGTTTTAATGGGAATGTATTTTAGTAAATGGGTGCAGTTGTTGGATTTGGTTTTTTATTATAATTTATTTTAAAATTTAGTTAATATGTGACATTATTAATTATAATTTTTAATTAATAAGATTTTTGTTTATAATTATTTTTCTCATTTCAGTTTTGGCAGCCTGGATTACAACCTGGAACATCACAAGAGTGAGTTCAATTTTCATATTTCATAAATAGTTTATATAACATTTTAAATGTAGTACCTAATATGTAATTTATATTTCCTAAAAAAATATTTCATAAAATATTTCATTAGATTTCAATTTTTTATTTTTTATTTTAGGTTTTGATTATATTTGTTTCAGTTGAAGCATTTTGAAACAGAAAAACAATCTATTTACAATATTTTCTGTACTGTTTGTTTGACATTTAACGTAATCATTCACAGTTACATTTTAATTTAGTTAATTGATGATTAAGATAAGATGATAAATAAATAACTTTATGGAACTCATTTTGATACTGAAACAATTAATTTTTATTTGCTGAAATCTTATATCATAATTTTTTAGCTTTTACAGATGCACAGTATACTCATTATCTATAAAAAATAAAACATTAATTTAAAATTGAAATATGCATTATGGTGAAATTTTATAGTGTTAAACCATTTGCGGGAGCTCCGGCATATTCCAGTGGAAAACCAACCTCTGGGGTGTCTGCCAGTACTGCTGAACTAGGAGTTCCCCCACCTCCTCCTTGGGAAGGGAGAGCTATTGCAACGCATAAGCTCAGGCTGGTTGAATTTTCTGCATTTATGGAACAGCAAAGAGAACCTGATACAGTAAGTTTTTAATTTGACTTCTTATTGTTCAAGCTTTTGTCGCACGCTTTGTGGTATTTAGAGCTAATAATATACTGAAGTTGACAAGTTACAGATATAAAATATTCCTTACACAATACAATATCTAATTTATTAGTTAAGACAACTACATATTGCTATAATAAATAACAGAAATCTTTATAAAATATATTGATAATCTTTTGAAACATTTTTTTAATGTTGTGCTTACTATATTTATTCCTTGTTTTACTATTGTCACACTTATTAATAACATATTCTCAGTTGAATTATTTTGTTCATCATAACGAATTACTTAAGCCATAATGATCCAGTAACAAGAGTGATAAGATTAATAAAAGAACTTGCTTCATATTTTGTATTGCCTTAACATACCAAGAGTCGGAGGTGCCCAGAAGAGGGTTTCATGGGGCAAGTTTCGCCATCAAAATTTTTGAGGGGGGCACATTTTGACTGGGTTTTGAATTTTTTAGGGGGCACATTCTGATGGGGCTATGAATTTTTGGAATGAAAATTTTCAAAACAAAAAACTAAAAGGAAAACATGGGACAGACCACAGCTAGTGTAATTGTATATGATCTACGATTTGTCTAATCTTACTTTCGCTTTAAAAAGAGGAGAGTGATAAAATTTTTGGAAAGGGGGGATGGTTCATATGCCGTTGACCTTGGAAGATATGGGCACCTCTGCCAAAAGTCACCCGTGGATACTGAAATCAGAATACCATGGACTACTAAGGACTAATTACTCTACCTCTTTGTGCCGTAGAAATGTGATTCAACAGGTTCTGGTAATAAAAACTTAAGTGGTAATGCCCAGAGAATATTGATCTCAACGCAGGCAAGAAGACTAGGAGTCTCTTACCACTAATAGTTCTGTTCAACACTTGAATATATATACTGAGGTTTAACTCAGTGAACTAAAGTTTTTATACCCTCATTACTGTATTTCTTACTGCATCACTGCCCCCTGTCATTTGGTTATAGACCCAGATTAGTGCAGTTTGGCAAGGATCATTGGTATTCAGTCCATGATGTGATTCATTACAATATTTCGACCTACTTGAACATGGTGTCCATCTTATTGTTCTTGGAAAAGTTAAAAGGGAAACAAAATCATTCTAACTGGAAAATCTATAAGAATCCTTTACTTAAATCAGATGATAAATGGGATGCTGTTGATGGAAAAGTAAATACAGAAGAAGCAGGAGATGATAGGAATTTAAAATAGAAAGGTTTTGTTGAAAATGTTGTTAATAGTTGAGAAGGATTTGATACATCACATTGAAAATTGTTCTACTGCTAAACAATGTTAAACAACTGCTAAACGGGCACCATTCAACGTTCAATCATTGTTAAAGACCATGGGATAACAAAAAAAGAATAATTATGTCACAAAATTAATTCTAAGCAAGTTATAAGACAGCTCTTCTATGGAGGAAGGAGTATGTAAACCAAATAATGTCTGCTGCCCAACACCCAATCACAGGAAGTGAAATTTGATGTTACAAACTAATAGATTGGTACTCTACCCCTCGCTGGTTTACTTATTATTAACCAATAATATTGAGTTTAAGGAGTTCAGGAATCGCAATTAAAGATGATTCAATAAAAGTAAAGTTATTAGAAGTAGTTATTAGAAGTTAAGACAAATAACAGTCAGTTTCAACCTGCTGATATAGTGCTATTTTTTTGTTAAGAAACCAATGCACCTTAGCAGTGGTCATAAGGACTCACAGAATCAAAACAAAACTGCCGCCTTTGTTGTTTTGAATTTTGGACATTTTGCAGCGAACTGTAAATATATACAGGATGCTGGTAAAAATTCTCAATCTCAGGAAAAGAATGACCAAAATGCTTCTTTAGTGTGTGTTATGTCAAATATTACAAACAATAATAGCCACAATGACTCATTGTACCTAGACTCTTGTGCATTAGCACAATTGATAAACATAAAAAATTTACAGAACTTTACAGTATTATTAGCGGATATTTCTGTAGTGAGTGGTGATCATATTATTATAAATTGAGTTTAGAGTGTAGACATAAATGTAACATTTAATGGTGGCAATGAATTTCTAACAGCGAATGAGGTATACTTCACCTAACATACTCATCAACCTACTATTCTTGAGTAAGGTTGTTAGTAAAGGCAATGAGATCATGTTTGATATAAGTTGGGACTTTAAACTAATTAAACACGTTTGGGATAATTTTTTTTTTATTATTTATTTATGATATTTACAACTATATTAAGAAAAAATACATTCAGGAAATGTTATAACAGAAAATAAAAACATAAGAACACTTGTTGAGAAACCACCCACTAGTAGCACTCTAAAAAAAACAATTGGGGTGCAATTGTTGGATCATTATTAACTGATAGGACACATGTGTCATTGGCATACGTGGTGATGACAGTGTTGGGATGGATTGGGATGTCAGCTGCATAAACTGTGTAAGGGATAGGACCTAGGATACTACCTTGAGGAACAACAGCAGACTGAGAAAAGAGGGATGAATAAGCGTTATTGTGATTCACTTTAAAGTAAATATCAGTTGATTAGGAACCAATAATGACGAAGTATGTAGGATCTAGGAATTTATGGAGTTTATAAAGCAGTCCCGGGTGCCAGACTCGATCAAAATCCTGTTCTACATCATGCAGACTCCCGTGCAGTACATTCCGTGCTCCAATGCAGAGGAGACAACATCCACCACACGATGGCATTGCTGGATAGTGGAATGGGATCTGTGGAATCCAAATTGGTGATCTGGGATTATGTAATTCGAATCTAGGATGGGATACAGTTGTTTTAGGATGTGTTTTTCCAGGATGTTGCCCATTATGGGTTAAAGGGAGATAGAATGGTAAGAGGATGGGAATTCTGATGGCTTTTTGGGTTTGTGTATCATTTTGATAATAGAAAGTTTCCAAGAGTCAGGAAAATATGTTGATCAGAGTACAGCATTATATATATAAGTAAGGAATAGAATGGCTTTCCGAGGAAGTAGTTTTAGGATCTGAGATGTAATTAGGTCGTGTCCAAGAGCTTTGTGGGAAGATAATCTGTGAAGGATATTAGATATTTCTAAAGGATGAAAGGCTTTAGGTGGAAGAGCCATTTGGAGGGACAAATCCAGTTCTGCTCCAATACATTCAAGATGATTTGGGTTAAGAATATCGGAATGTGGATTAAAGGTTTTGAAGAGGTGGTGAGCAAATATTAGGGATTTTTCTTCATCGGATTTGGACTAGGTTTAGGCTTCGGTAAGAAGTGGATGATTACAGTTTTTAAATTTCAGGAGCCTTTTAGTGGTCGTCCATAGTGATTTGTTGGTAGGTGTAAGTTTTTCAGTAAGTTTGAATTTTGTATTTTTTAATTTCTGATTTTAGTTTGTTAGTCAGTTGGGTGTAATGAGCTTAATCTGTCAGATAACTAATTCTATGCCACTTCGATCTTGCTCTGCATTTTTCCTTTAATAAGAAACGAATATGCTGTGGCAAGATAAGTCTTTTGTGAATTGTTAATGTTACTAATGAAGGTGCTATTATTTATACTGTCTATTATTTATACTGTCTGTTATTGATGCTGTTAGTTTTTCTATGGCTCCATTAATGCCTTCTTTTGTCGTTAGCGGAATTTTAGGTTTAGTTTTTCCAAATCATTTGTTTGGGATAACCTAAAAAAAAAAAAAAGAACATAAAAGAAAAATATATATTTGATTTACTAAATACTCGGTGACTAAAGTAATTGTTCATTTTTCTGATTTTTAGTACTTGTTAACGACCACTTAGTTATTAGTAGTAGTAAATGATGAGTCTATGTTAATTTATTAGTTTGCTCATGCCAGGCTTGGGTGAATTGATTCCAAATAATAATTATAAATCCATAGATTTTTTCTTAATTTAAATTAATAATTAATTAATCTATAACCTGAATTATTAGTGATTTAGTTTTCTTTTCAAATTTCTTGGAATTGGGTATTAGTTAATATATGATCAAGATTGCTGATTATGAATATTCCATTGCAATTATGTTTATTTACTAATGCACGAAAAGTGTTTAAAAATGTTGTCGTTGATTATTATCCCTAGAAAACTCATTTATTTGTTTATTACCTTGACAAATTTGGAGTTTCTTCATAATTTCCAATCACAGTCAAGATATTAGTATGAATCTTGGTAAAGTACTCATGCACTAAGTAGCACAGGCAGATCTATAAGGGGCTTTCGGGCTGAAGCCTCCCCCTCCAAAAGATATAAATGGTAAAATATTACCATGTCTTAAGGAAACAATATTTTAAAAATATCCCTTAAAGTATTATTGTTAGTGTAATTTCATTGAACAGGACTTCAAGAATCACTTAAACACCATTTTGTATAAATAGTTAAGTTTCTTTCTTTTTCTTCCAAAGTAATTATTGTTATATTAAAAAAAAATAAAAAAACTTTTGGGCTGAAGCCCCCTCCAAAATGAAATCCTGGATCTGCTAGTGCTAAGTAGTAATGCATTGGTAAAGTAATAAGACACTCCAACCCAAAAAGCATTCGAGTTCTATCTGATTTCACTGTCATATATCCAAAATAAATAACATAAAAAAAAATATTTATTTATTTTGCTATTTTTTTTAATTAATAGAACATTAAACTAAAATTAGAGGCAATAAACAGTTTCCTTTATGTGTAAACTTTTATCGTAAACAAAAATGGTTTCCAAATAAAAAAAATAACATCACTCAAATCATAAATATCTTAAGTTTCTAAATTAATTAAATGATTTTTCAGTTAGTTTAAACAGTTATTCAATATTCTTAATAAATATTCAAATAAATACTTATGAATTTTCGCTTGGAGTTTGGTTAACAGATTTAAATTGTATATGTTTTTAAAAACATTCTCATTCAAAATCAAAGTTTTTAAAGTGTGAAAAGAAATTTTTTTTTACTAAACTGTTATTTTTACTCCTAAAATTTATTAATGTTAAAAAACAGGGTTTATTCTACAATAAAGCGATAAAATTAAAGAATGATTAATAAGATGCTCTAATATATACATTATAATAATTAAAATGGCAAAGAAATTAAAACTTGTAGGAAAGAAGCAAAGCCAACCATCTTATAAACAAATGTAGAATATATATAGCACTTGATAGTAAGCTTTCATTGATGTACAAGCTCACCATAAATGGAAGAAAGTAAACAAATTTAAATATCTTGGCTTCACAAGATTACATGGCTATTATATTTAGACATACCATTATATTACAATTAAAAATCAGAAACCTCTTCTGATTTTCATAAATACTGGAATTGAACCTGAGAATACATAATCAGTCAGATAGAAGGTTGTGAAACTTGGTCCCTGACTGGCATCTTACAAATTAAGTTTGAGAAATTTGAAAGAAAAGATGTTTTTCCAAGCTCACTTTATCTTAGAGACGTTATGAATAAAAGAATTAGAACTTTCTATAAGTTCTTAGAATCTCAATTCTTAGAATTGAGAACTTTCTTAAGTAGATTATAAGTTGGTATCTCGTGTGACCTAAAACCATATGCAAATGTAAAGATACAAAAGCCTGTGCTAGACAGAAGTTGATTGACCAAGAAGGCAAAAGATCTAAAAAGTAAGCAATACCACCAAAAGAAATGCATAACTTACTTGATCATCTTGATATTTAATAATTGCACTAAACTTTTTTGTGATTCAAAATACGCTAACATGTTTTGAATTATTTGTTTGGTGCATATTAAAATGGTTATTTCATTTTTTAAATATTATTTATTAAAACATAAATAGGCATTCAAAGTGGAAAAGTTAATATTTTGTTTTATTATTATAACTTTTGTGTTGTGCTCTAACTGATCTGGATATAACTGCTCTAAATTTTGTTGTTGATATATAACTGATTAGGTAAAATTATTGAATTAGTAATCAATAAAAATTATTATTTGTTACAGTACCACAAACAACATTTGTTTGTACACATTGGTGGAGCCACAACTTACTCTGATCCCCTTCTTGAGGTAAGGATTATTACTATAATGATATAATTTAATATCATATAATAGTTTTAGGTGCATATAATTAAGAATAATTTCCACATCATAATCTGCTTAATTTATATTAGTAGAATAACATGATTTTTTTTCTTTCAACTTTTATATTTTCAGTATTTATAAAGAATATACATGATATAAGAATAAGTATAGAATAAGTATAAAAACAAGAATAAGTATAAGTAATATTTGAATAAGTGAAATATTTAACTAGCTTTTAAAAACATGATAGTCATTGTCTCCCTGACCGCACAGGCTAGGATACTATAGATCTTCCTTTATGTACTGGAGGATTTTTACAGACCCTTTTTTTTATAACTTATAGGAAGACAGATTGTGTAGAAGGAATTATTTTACCCACTCAGGGTGGATCAGTTATTGCCTAAGGCCCCAGGAAAATTTTCTAATCTCCAATTTCCAAACTGTGTTGTGTATAAGTTTAATTACCTAGGAAACAGTTAACTCACTCAATTACTCTGGCTCTCATTATGGCCATACATTAACATTAGTATATGATTGGTTGCTCCTTGTCTTAGTATGTAGAGTTGTTTGAGTGTTGTATGTTATTTCAAATGTCCTTTTTAGGTGCTACAACCCACTAGTAAGTCATGACTTCCAAAGTTCAAATCATAAATAGTATATACTCTATTTATTAAGAAGCCTTACATTATTTTATATATTAAAAAAATGAATTTACTATTTAACTGTGAAATTTAGTATTTACGAGCTCAGATCATTAAAATTTTGTAATAATATATTTTTTCTATTCACTTATGTAAGTTTATGCAATTTTAAATATTCCAACTTATGATTAATTTACTCTTTTTTTTTTATTATAGGCGGTTGATGTCAGGCAAATATATGACAAATTTCCTGAAAAGAAAGGTGGCTTAAAAGAATTATATGATAAGGGGCCCCAAAATGCCTTCTTTTTAGTAAAATTTTGGGCTGATCTCAATACAAATATACAAGATGAAGCGGGTGCATTTTATGGTGTCACAAGCCAGTAAGTATTATTCTTATTGAGCAAGTTAATGTAATGTTTAATTGTTCAATATGAATTTTTTAATATTATTAATGTTGAATAATTAATTTGTAGATATGAAAGTAACGAAAATATGACAATCACATGTTCAACAAAAGTATGCTCATTTGGAAAACAAGTTGTTGAAAAAGTCGAAACTGAGTATGCAAGATTCGAAAATGGTAGATTTGTGTACAGAATACATCGCTCACCTATGTGTGAATATATGATTAATTTTATTCATAAATTAAAACATTTACCTGAAAAATATAACAAGAACAGTGTGCTGGAAAATTTCACAATTCTACAGGTATAACAGTTTTTATTATATTTTGTATTAAATATTACTACCTCTTTCTGTATATGATAATTGAATATTTTAGGCATAGTAAATTAAACTTATAGATCTATGTTATTTGTTGTTGTCTATTAACACTGCTGGACAAAACTAAGGAATTCTTTTTGAGTATGATACAATAGTTTATTAAAAGAGCAAATAAATCAAAAAAGAAAGAAAAAATGTATTTTTCGGAACTTTTATCTCTGGGTGACTAAGCCATCACCTCAATCTCTTCTTGCTGGAGGTAATTTCGGAGCAACATGAGGTCAGGCATTATCATGCATTAAAATTAATTTGTCTCGTATATTACTGGTAAAATGTATCACATATAGCCCTAGGATCTCCCTTTTATACCACAAAGCAGTTGATTAGCTTCGGTCCACAAGAACCAACTCCGTAGTGAAGTTTAGATTTATGCCTTCCCATACCATTACTGAGCCCCCTCCAAAAGCAACCTTTGGAGAACTATTTGGAATTGAAGAAGGAGCATACCTCTCTCCCCATCTCTTCCATATTCTTTTGTGTCCATCTGGAGACATTGAACTGAACATAAACTCGTTGATGAATAATACATGGCTTCAGTGTGTGTACGTGTTCCTGGGTAAACCTCAAGCACTTAACTCGGTACGCCCTGGAAAGCAGAGGTCCAGTTGCTTGAGAATAGGACACTAATCCATACTCACTAAGTCGTCAGCTCATTGTTCACTTTGAACTTTGTAGGCTCCTGATCCGCTATATGAGACAAAACAGGCTATTTCCTGTAGATGGCAATCTTGAAGAGTGTGAATTTGTAAAAATCTGTTGTCACGGTGGGAGGTTGACCTCGGACTAATTTGAACCCTTCCTCTGGTATACTATGCTGTCTCAGGGTACCTAATAATTGCTCTGAAAATAATGTGCTGTGGCCGCTGGAGGCTCTGTGCAATGTTCCATTGTAAAAAAAAAAAACCTTCATCCATTAAAGTAAAATTGATTCCTCTTCGGTTAATTCTCTTCTGAGTCCATGACATTAACTTAAGTTATCTTTGTAATATCAAGGAGTAATTAATGCTTACAGTTTGAGGGCATGATTGATAAAGGGTAGTGTAACCCCCAGTATTCCATGCTGGTACCAGAGAAATATTTATTGTTTATATTATCAAAACATTATACCAAAATTTGTAGGTGACCTTTTAATTTTATCCGGTAGTGTACTTGGAATTAGTTAAGCATGGTGCCTGAGAGATTCCGGAGACCTGTAAAATATCATGCTAATTAAAAATTAAATGGAATTGTTATATCAATATTTAATATATAATATCAATATTTTAGACAACATTGGTGCTACTTAGTAGGTTGTGACAATATATATAACCTTTTTTACTTGTGGTCAAAGCATAAACTTTTTGATGCTGTGCAATTTTAGTTTGTTTGAGTGTTTTGATCTGATTGTCAGTAACCCACACCTGAGATAAATAAATATATTAATATGCTTATAATTTTGTTTATTATTTAATAACCTCTTATTTATTTAGGAAGTATCCCAATAGTATTAAAGTAATCTTCCGAGGTTACGTTATTATTATTTGTAAAATATAAGAGATGTTACTATATATATATATATATATATATATATATATATATATATATATATATATATATATATATATATATATAGGAATGCACAGAAGGGGGTTTCATCAAAATTTTTGAGGCATAGTTTGACAGGTTTTTGAATTTTTGAGGGGAACAAATTTCGACGAGATTATAAATTTTCAGACTGAGGGACAAGGAGAAAACATGTAACACACCTGTAAGTGTAATAGTATACGATCTATGATTTTTCTAAGTCTGCCTTCGCTTGCTCTGCTTTTAAGAAAATTGAGCAATAAAATATCTTGAGAAGAGGAAGGGAGGAAGAGTTCTTGCGCCATTGGCCTTAAGAGGGATGGGCACCTATGTATATATATATTTTTTTTGGTTGGCACTACAGACCACGAAGATCTTTGGCCGCAAGATGTGGTCTCCTTACAGATATGTGTTGCTTTCTGGAGCTCAGATAGCCTGAAGGGGGTCACTCAACCTCACGTTGCTACGAACCATGGTCTCCATGGTGCAGCGGCAGGCCATCTATAGCTCCATAGCCGATTCCTTCGGGGCCAATCTGGCAGTGTCCTTCCCACAGACTCACTCGGGTTCAAGGACAGTGACAAATAGGTCTAGATCCAAGGATTATGGCTGCTCGGAATCAGCAGACGCACGAGAACTTATATTTCTTTCCCCGAAACTGACCGTACATGGACTGAACCTCTGGAGGGCTACTAACATCCTGGTAAGCCACATCCTGATTCCCGATTTAAGTGCATGGGGTAGGGTCACCAGTCCTACACCCGGTCGGTGTGAGTAGCCTCCAGTAGACTGATGGGCCTCATATAGACTGAGTGTGGGTTACTGACAATCAAAACACTCAGACAAATTAAAATTAACTATACTAAACACTGTTTGGTTTTAAAATAAAGTCAAATATGGATTGACAAGCTAACCTTTTTTCTATATACAATGTTTCTTCCTTTTGGCACTGAATTCATTTGTTTTCAAACATTTTCCAAAGTTCTGCTAAAAACAACTTCCAAATTGGTGATAACTTTCTTCTACTCAACTCAAGCTCCCTGGGATATCCTCTCTCTTGTGATTCCAAACAACTAGTCTCTCTGCCAAACAACTTCCAAAATGGTAATACTATTACTGGGTTTTACCCACTGGAGTCAGGATCTCTTCTCCTATCCTCTCTTCACTACAGCCACACAACAACAGCTTGCCAAAACAAAAACCTTTGTCCCTCTCCTCTTTGGGATTTTCCTTCTTAGGAAACTACAGAGAAGCCATTTTCTTTCCCCTGCTTTGGTAGAACTACATTAGCTTGCCTTTAATTGTTCAACATTAATTTATTAAAACCTTTTTACTCACTTCCAATAAAGGTGTACATTACATTTCTTCCCACTTCCGGGTAAAAAAAATATTTTAAGTAAATTTTTTTTTTTTTTTTACGTTAAATTTAGGTGAATACTGAAACAACTGCACATTACTTATTCAATACAAACAAATATTTTTTTTTAAAGATTCCCTCTGAGTTACATCTTAACTATATTTAATTTTTATCATTTTCTTACAGATTCTTTTCTTAAAGATCTATTCACATGAGATATTGACACATACAACATAAATTACAGTAACATATGAATACTAAAATTAAATTAAAGATCATACCTTAATTTTAAACTAATTTACGCAATATATGAACTATAAACAGTAATTACATAACTTGTTCATATAATTTATGCACAAGAAAAATAAGTAAAATAAATTGATATATAAGTAATAAAATAAACTATATATATGATTTACAAAAAATATATAGTATAATATTCATATCTTATATACAATTAACTTACAAAATAACTGTTTAAATTATTTATATAACATTAAAAAATATTAATAATTTTTATTATAGGAATAGATAGAGAATACACAATTGCATTTAAAAAGTATAGAGAATTAGAAATAGTTATATTAATATGAGTTAAACTTCATGAAAAAGTTTTAAAACGCTGTTGTGAAACAGACCCCTAGTAGTACCATTATTTGGATTAGATATCAAAAATGAATGTTTGCCCAACTTATTTATTATTTCATAGGGTCCTTCAAAAAGTGGTAGGAGTTTGACATTTATCACACCTGATGTAGATACTCTTAAGGCCTTCACCAGCACCTTATCTCCAATCTTAAAACATCTGAATTTTTTATCTTTATTATATTTTAATTTATTCTTATCACCAAACTTCTGAATTTTATTCTTAATTAAATTTTGTATTTGGTGATGATCTAAATTCAAACCCTTGGGATTCTCCCCTATATATGTGTTCCATTAATGTAAGGGTTTAATTCCAAACATACCCAGGATAGGTGTTATACCTGTAGTTGTGTGTTACGTTGAATTCATAGTGGTCTCAATCTGAGATAGTTTACTTACCCATTTGTTATGTTTGCCATCAAGCAGTAGGAGCAGATATTGTAATACATCTCTATTTGTTCTTTCTGAGATGTTGCTAATTGGGTGTCCGATAGAAGTTAAGACTTGAGTAATATTTAAATTCATTAGGAAATTCTTCCACCTCGTAGTTGTAAAACAGGTGGCGTTATCACTTAAACACTTTAATGGAGTGTCGACTTCTTCAATATAGTAAAGGATAGACTTATTTCTCATTACTGGTTCTGATCATAAACCAAATGGAAATTATCATTAAAAGTTTTTGTCATATCATTATTTTTTATGTTTTTGGCCATTTTATTTTTGTATATATTTATCACAAGTTAGTCTGATTGTATATTATTTTTATTGTAGGTTGTCACTAATCGAGAAACGCAAGAGACATTATTATGCACAGCATATGTGTTTGAGGTTTCAACTTCTGAGCATGGAGCTCAACATCATATTTATAGATTAGTAAAAGATTAAATTCTTTTCCTCATAATTTTCATTGTAAAATATCCAGATCATTTTAATTATGTCAGTGGTTTTGTCATTATTATTGTTTAAGTTTTTGGCCAGTTAAAATTTCATAAGAAATTAGAAATGAAAAATTATATTTATATTATTTTCCTCTTTTTTCCTTATTTTACTTAATTGTTGATTTTGTTTTGTTTTATTCAATTTCTAAAACATCGATTGAAATAGTTATAAAACAAGCTTTATATCATTTATTATAATTTTTCATTAGTAATTTTCAGTCATGAATAAATGGATTTATTTTGTGCAATTATGAATTGGAATATATTTTTATTGTTCGTCCAAAATTTACCTTAATTTATCATATAATTTTATTTATGTATATGTTGATGATGTTTATTTAAGTAATTTAATTGCTTTATGTTGAAATATTTTTTCAAATATAATATAGTAGATTAATATATTGTTTTTATGAATTATATACAAAAATTTATTATGGAAAATAAATTGATCATCTCCGATGCCAAACATAGGTATTAAATTTATAAATAAATCACTAAAGAGATGTCTATGGTATTAACCATTTTAATTACATTGTAAATATTTTCCCTTTATTTTATTTTTTTATTATTTTTTTTCATGGTGTTTCAAGATTTTCTATAAATTAATATATTGAAGTCTCTTATGATATTTTTATTTTCTTGTTTAAATTCTGCTTAAATATATTGAGTATAACATAATGATGGATTTGTGAGATTAGTAATTATTTAGAATTGTTCCCATTTTCCGTTTAGTTTTATAATAAAAATTTACTTTTCACATCATAAATGTTAATTTATAAATGTATATAAATATGTTTCAAATTGTTTTAGTATAGTCTGTTATAAATTTCTATTTCTAATTTTATTTTTAGATACTTGAATAGAAATGAATTAAAATTTTATTATCTGCTGATTTTCAATATTATATATTCATGATATCGTAATTATTTTTACATGGTCTATGAAACTGAATATTTTTCAACTAATAGAAAATCTTACATCACAAATAAAATTAAAATTACAATTTATTATTCATAAAATATTATATTTATTGTCTGATTAGTTTATTGTTTATTTTTTCCTCCTCACTGTTGTGGTATTTGAAATTTAAATATAAAATTAAACTTTATTTTTCTGGATTGGCAATTTAGATTACCATTTCTTTTTAAATGTGATAAAATATTATTAACATAGTCATGTTTCAGATTAATATGCTTTTATGGCTACCGTATCATGTGAAATTAGCATTTAACAAATTTTTAAGGAAATAATTTTTGTGCAGTCTGTGGTACATGTAAGTTTGAGTAATAAAATTGGTTCTAGTTCATTTTTAATGATGTTCAGCATTGAATTTTGCTACTTTGAAAGTACAAAAAAAAAAAAAATAGACAATAAATCATAAATAGACAATAAATAAATAAATAAATAGACAACTTGAATAAAATGTATGGAGAAATATTGATTTAAAATAAAATAAAAAAAGCAAAATTAGATGCTTTAATTTCGGTAATGTTTTTATTTTAAACATATATATGTATTAATATGTGTGTCTGTTACAATGCTTCAGAATCAATCTCTACCTGGCTATATAAAGAAAAAGCAGAAACAATGGAAAACCTTCCTGCCTTAAATTTTGAGTAATGTATATATTAATCACCAGGAAACTAATGTTCATGGACACTTAGGCCATCCTTTATTCTAAGTAAATTTTAAAAGTTGATTTTGTATGTTTGTGATAAAAGTATTAATAATAAGCAAAAGAAAAGTGGGGAAAGTGCATTGTTTTCTTTACAATGAAAAATTTCCTCTTCTGAATTATTTTTATGGCTTTTTCATGTTTGTGCTGTAATTAATATACATTTTAAACCAAACCCAGATAGCAAAATATTTGTACAAATAATTTTTAAAATTATGAATATTCTGTGACTATTTTATTATTAATGATTTAATTAATAAAAACAGAAACATTTTTTATTTCCTCTAAAGTTACTTCCAAGATTAACTGATTTTTTGAATATACATATATAAACTAACATGTTTTTTTCCTGTAAAAGACCCTAATGAAAAAGGGGAATAAAGTAAATTTTATATTCATACAATTAGAAAAGAATGTAGTTTAGTTATTTTTATATTAAGATAGGATTTATGAAACCAAATCTTTCATATGATGTTTTGTATCATTTCTAATCAATCTTTTGTTTATTGTTAATTTAGTTTTCATGTAGCAAAGAATTTTGTAGTTCAGACGTTAGTCCCACAGAATGTGTATATTTGTTAATAAAATAAAATGTGCTGTGAAAATTACAACAGAAAAAAAAGAAGGAAATAATCTTAATGAGCTTTTGAGGTTAGTGCATATGAATTGCAAAACTTGCATTATTTCAAACTAATTGGCATTGGTGGCAGAGCCATATTAAAAAAAAAAAAATCAATGGTTAAGGTATACTAATTGAATTAAAAATTACATGGATTTTAAATGAGATTAATATTCATCACAAAAATTGTATTTTATTGATCTAGGAAAACGGATCTTGCTGTGAGTTATTGTTCTGTCACCTATGCAAACAACCAGATAATTTTTCTTTATTCCCCATTTCATTTTCCAATATATTGGTTGAATAACTATTTGATAGTGGAATATATTTCAAGAGAAATTTATATTCAAGCAACTTTATAATTTAAGGATCTTATGAACATAGTGCCAAAAAGGAAGACTTTTATTAATTTTTGCTGTTATTTAGCCTCATTTTAATTTCCATGGTCATTAGCGGTGGCTAGGGCCCGGATCTGAAGATCTAAATTAACTAAGAAATAGATCTTAAAAATCAAATTTTAGATCCAAAAAAGGTCTTAAACTATTTATTAACCATAGTACCTAGTCAAAAATATAAAAGTATTTTTAGAGCTTAAATGTTGTTTAACATAAATGAACATGATAAAACTGAGTAGCAACATTAAACCATAATGTTTACAAAAATTAGAATTTTAAGAATTAACATTACTATTAATAACAAAAAGAGTATGTTCCTGAACTCAACTCTAATGCCATCGATAGATTCCATCAATTGACTAAATCCTGCAGCGAGTGACAGCGATTTATGCTCAGTTTAGGAATGATCTGATGGGTTCCATCAGAAGATCAACATTTCTGATGTAGTTCATGAAGACATGAACAATAACAAAAATGTTTAAAGAAATACCCACCAACAGAATTGTTGAATTCCAAAAAATATTTAAATAGGGCAACTTCCTAAACTCAGCACTGAGCTCATCACTGGTTTTGCTCAGTACAGAGGATGATTCAATGTCATTGATGAACTTATTGTTAAATTAAGGAATTTGCTCATATGGACAGAAAGTAAATTAAAGTATAACATCACTAAGGTGTCATCCTGTGGATCTATTGACTCCAAAATCTGATGGAACTGCTGAGCCATCGGTGATTCAATCGATGAATAAACTAACGGGTTTAATTCTATCAATTTATTTAAGATCTTTCTGAAATATTTATGTTTTTAAGAAATAATATTTTATAAATTTCTTGAAAATAATTTATTAACTCAGATTTTAGCCAACTTCTATTAAATCATAATTATTTTTAAAGCCGACTGTAACATTGTAATGTCTCTTTCGTTAATAATACCAATAAGATGGAATTATTCATTTTCCATAGAATTGGTATGAATAATTTAATTTTTATTCTAAAAAAGTATAGAACAGAAAAGTATTCCATACTACTTTGTTGGAGAATTAGTAATGGGGAGGAGCCTTTTTCATGTTATTCAGAATGTTTAAAAAGAGAATTGCCTACATTAACTTAGGTAATCGAATCATATGAATCGCCCTGTAGAAACAGCAAATCATTCTGTGAATCTGATTAGGAAATGGATAAGTTTCTCAGACTCATAATGCAGGTGTTCCTAAAAAAAATCAGATGTTGTCATGAGCATTACTTACCAATGCTTTTTTTACTAATATCCGGATATTATGAGATTTATTTTTATTTTTGTTAAATTGACACAAGATATTTAAGCGTAAAAGCATAAGAAATAAATCGTGAATATATTCAATTAAATCGAACTCTGAATGAAGACCCCAGGAAAGATCGAATTTTAGTGCAAAATTGCAAAATAGATCAAATATACCCTATAGGATTTCGTATTTAACTGGATATTTGTATAATTGAATACTAATATCGGCCTATAACTGCAAATTATTTCGATACCGTCAAAATATCGCTAGTGATATTTTCATCGATATTATTAACATTTTCGAAATATGAATATCAATGTAAATATTGATTCTCTAGCACATATGTGCATAGAAAAAGATGATTCAGCGAAATGCTAATTATTTGCATCCTTCATAGGATTCTTTGACAATTTATGGCCTTGGTTTGAGAAGGTTCTAATTAACAAATTTGGGTAAATTGAGTTTACTGAGTGAGAAAGCTTTCTCGCGCGCTATCCAAATCTACTTAGGGATGGCCAAGGCCTATAAAATTACCAGGTTCGCTCACTCAGAGGGAAAATTTGTGAGGAAGAATCGAGCTCTGACGTAACCACTAGACCGATATTACCCCTCCGGTTCTTGTTTACGGACGTTTTAAGACTATTATTTAGCTTTATACATGATATCAAACGCTTTAACTTAAACAACTTTTAATAACGTATGCCAATATTAATAAATTTAAAAGGGAGGAGAAAGATTCATTTGCTATTTATTCTCAAACAAATAAAATGTAATTTAACAAGTTGATGTTATATGTTTTGTTTTTTAAATGCAAAATATCGCCATATATATTTTTTTTATGTTTCAAATAAATATAAAACATAATGTAAAATAATAGAACTATTTTTAAAAAAGAAGTATTTAATCCGAAATTAAAGTAGCGTTTTATTTTTACGAATTTTTGTAAATATGACATTTTCATGTTATAAGTAATCCTACTTATGTTTGTGCTTTTTATCTCAAGTTTTTTGTCTTTTCTCTAAATGGCTCCTTATATGGTTAATATTATTGAAGGAATATAATTGAAGCCAATATATCGAAGGGGTACCTCACAAAGATCAATTATATTCAATTAAAAATCAAATCAAAGAGTCTATATTATATCAGTTAAGACCTTGCTTCGGCTAAAGACGGAATCACTTAAACACCATTTCATATAGGTAGTTAGTTTCTTTCTTCTTTTCCAAAGTAATTATCGTTATTTTTATGAAAAAAGAAAGCTTTCGGGCTGAAGGCCCCCTCCAATATTAAATCCTGGATCCGCTTGGCGCCAACTTGCTACAAGAATTGTAGCCAACAATAGAAAGCGTTTACTAGTTCTTCAATTCCTACATTTTCTTTTCTACGAAAACAATTAGAAAATTTTTAGAATATTGGGTTTTTTATGATAATTTTTAAATTATATTATTACTACATGATGCAACTACTCACTTTGTACCCGACATTCTATGAGATTTCATTAATGTTTATGTTATTATGAAAAATGTAAGAAATATTAATAATAACAAACTAATTCTCTGTAACATGTTATTAAAAAAATAATACTAGTTTTAATATTATTAAAGAGATGGGTAAGTAGTTAACTGTTAAAATTATAAGGATTTGCAGTCAAAATTTGTTAATATTTTAACCATAAAAAATTTTAATTTAAAATATTTTTAATTAAAAAAAGTTATTTACATTTTTAATTAATTTTTTTTTAATTTAAAGAAATTTTAGCTGACAATGTTTCCATCCTTATAATATTGTTATATTATTAAAAGAAATACTCGCGAGATCTACCAACAAAATTAAACGAAAACAGTGCTACAATGTTGTTTTGTCTCTTTTACTGACCTCCAATTAGATCAGAATACCCATGCACTGCAGAAATCCAATGAAAGATCAAACATGTCTTTGATCCCTTTGAATGAAAATATATCCATTCCTCAGAGCTCTTCATCCATCTCTGAGACGCCACCAGTTCATAAAAATGTTCCTGAAGTGGCTTCAGATAATTTTGATGATAGTCCTTCCTCAAAGGAGGAACCAATTGTTCGACCTTCAACTGCCAGTACCAGCGTAGAGATTGACGATACCCAAGGAGAAGAGAAACACTTGACTCATTCATCAAGGGGAGCGGATTACACTCCAGCATCATGTGAGAGTCCCTTTTACAGTTCCACGGAAATTTATGGACATCCTAGACACGGATCTGCATCCAACCAACTTCAGGAACTCAGTGTAACTAGATGCGGTAGTCTCCCAATCGCACACTCGTTTTAGTGAATGACCTTGATGTGTGATGGTTCACAAAATAAACTTTCTTTAGGAGAAAGGATTGTCCATCGAAAATGTACATATAAACATTTTTTTTATAATAACAATTGTGTATAATACGACTATTAATTTATAGTGTATATTTGATTTACCATGTTATTTCATTTGTATTCTATTGTATTCACCATAATGTTTCTTACGTATGTAAAGTAATTATTGTAATAATGATAGCTTTATTTCTAATAATTTATATATATACAATCCATATCTAAGACATACCTCATAATTATAACTGTCTGAGGGGACATATGTGAAGTTTTTTTTTTTCCTTCCCTTCCTCGCCGGGAGGGCGCACCTCTGTGCCAGGTGCTTCCCCCACCCCTATCCGTCCCTCCACCACTACCCATCTTCCCCACTCCTTAGCTGAGTTTAGCCGCTCAAATGTCCTCTTTAAATGGTTTTAACAAAAGCAAACTCTATTTTTATTTAAAGTAAATTTTGTCTAGTTTATAGTAAAGCAATCGTTAATTAATTAAATTAAATAGTTTTTTTTATCACCTCCTATTCAACAAAAAACATGGCTTACATGAAAAATCACAAAACATTAATTCCCTACTTTTCAGCTGACAATCGAACCACTGTTTATATAAACTTTTTTGTATTTATTGAGTTCGGCTATCACTAGTTTACATATTCCCTCTACTTACAAGACACCCTGTATATGGGTTTAGACATGTAAAAAACTTAATTTCTGACAAGAGTCACCAAGAGAAAATTTTTTACAGCCAAAAAATCCAGATTTATGTGATCTTTTTTTTCCATGAATTACTACGTAATAGTGCATCAAAGCGAAAAAAGAATTCCTTGAGAAATTCTAACTCGAAAAAGAGTACCTAAACATAATAATTTGATTAAGTGATATGATCGATAACCACGGTAATGAACGCTAATTTTTACCGACATTGTCAAAATCTGAGAAAGATTACAATAAATGGCTCTGCAGCTTGGAAATAAATTCTCTAAGAACCAAAACTCAGAATAATTTCTTCCTATTCATAATCAGATTCCGATCAAATCGGAGACCAATAATTAGTATCTTGCCTCATGAAAATGTTCCCAACAGCAGCTATTTTAAGAAAAGAACAACACTTTCTTATGAGAAATGTACAAATTATTATAGTGAATTATGAATCGTATGGATTCTTCAAGGAGACTACAATTTCTTGAGGTTGAAATTCATCCAGATCTATTGGAACTGAATAAAAACTGAGTCTGGGAGAAAACCAGTATTTTTTTATGCTCGAATAAAAGGTTGTTCGAAAGAATAAATGAAGTTCATATTTTTTAAAATAAATTTTCCTCCATCATGTATTTCACCTGTGAGATATATTTCAGTTCGGAGTCAATTGGAACTAACTGCGACAGGAGCACAAGCCTTAGCATCTCATGGCGGCCCAAAAACTACATCACTTTTTTCTTTTAATAGCTGCTTTTTGGAATTTTTTGTCTATCATCCAGAGGGAGGGTCGCCCCCCAGTAGAATTCACTATTGCTTGTCACGATTATATTATTTTTATATATTACATTAGAAAATTCGTCTATGAGGATGAGTTTTTCCTATACTTCTCTTTTAATTAAAGAAGATGCTTAGTTTTTGAATGGAAGGTCCTTCGGAGGATATTTGTCCCAGTTAAGGAGAATGGTGAATGAAGAATTAGACGCAACCATGAACTAGCTAACTTAAACAATGAGCCGAATGGTGGAGAAATATATCCGGATAGCAAGGCTGAGATCGAAGGGCCAAGTTGTCCCTCGTCGGATGGACGAGACCTCAATCCCAAAGAAGCTGCTGTGCATGGAGCCGGTTGGAAAAAAAAAGTGGACAGACCGAAACTGAGATGGAAAATGAATTAAGTGCTGATGCCAGAATTCATGGAATCAGGAACTGGTGGAGGCTGCTCAGGACAGGTAAATATGGAGGAAAGCTCTTGAGGCAGCCAAGATCCAGTAATGGATTTTCGATCTTAGGGTGATGTTATTGATCACATTAAAAAAATCGTCTTAGAGGGTGATTTTCTCTATATTTCTCTTTTCTTTAAATAGCTGTTTTTTTGATACTTTTTTTCGAAATTATTTTTCTAACATCCAGAGGGGGGGGGGGCGCCCCCTGTTTGAAATTACTAGTGCTGGTCACGATATTTTTTTTATATTACATTGGAAATTCATCTATGAGGATGAATTTCTCCTATATTTCTCTTTTCTTTAAATAGCTGCTTTTTGGAACTTTTCCCCAACCATCCAGGGGAGAGAGGGGCGCGCCCTTGACTGGATCCGTTAGTATTGGTCACGATAATAACTTTTTTGTATCACAGAAAATTCGTCTTAGAGGATGAATTTTTCCTATATTTCCCTTTTCATTAAATAGGCGTTTTTTTTTCACTGTCCAAGGGAGGGCGCACCCCTGGCAGAATTTGCTAGTGCTGGTTCCGAATATAATTTTTTTTTTATTACATTAAGAAATTCATGAATGGTAATGAATTTCCCCCACATTTCTCTTTTCTTTAAATAGGTGTTTATGTCACTTTTTCTCGGAATTGTCTCCAACATCTAAGGGAGGACGCGCCCCCTGGCATAATTCGCTAGTGCTGGTCACTGTACAATTTTTTTTTTTATTGCATTAGGATTTTCATCGAATATGAGGATGGATTTTTCCTATATTTCCCTTTTCTTGAAATAGCTGCTTTTGTGAATCTTTTTTTTGAATTTTTTTTGCAGCTCCCAGTGGGGAGGGCGCCCCCCGCGCCTCTCGGCTGGACCCGCTAGTGTAGGAGGGAGGGGTGTTTTGGACTATCTACTATTATTGCCAACTATTAACTATGATTATATGTGTTGGGCAAGTGGATTATGGCAGCACTGGTTTTTGGCGGGAGGACATCAATTCAGTGTAGCTTGCGTAAGCATGGAAGTTATATGTGTAAGCAGGACACGTTGTTAATACTTTTAGTGTAATAAAGTGCTCCACCACTGATCATTGTATTGATGAAATCCAGAAAGAACATAAAATACACTATAAAATAAATGCCAATATTTGGCATGTAAAATGTGTCCTGTTTTATAAATAAATTATTATCATTATAACAAGGGGGGCGCCAAAATTGGATCTCGCTCTTTCCTAAAATTTAATCTCGGTCCGGCTCTGCACTCACTATACCAGCGCACATTCACACACTGTAGAGTTAATGCATGCTATCTGGCAGCACGGTAGCTGTTGTAAACAAAGGCAGTTTGGGTTGGATGAGGTTACCCAGATATAGTTGTTGTCCTTTGTTCCTGATAGTGTGATGTTTATGTAGAGGAATAAAAGTGTTTTTATGTATTGCGAAATAAAGTTTTCAACATAGCCTCATTTGTTTACTGAAGTGATTTCCTGATATTGCATAGTGGCATCCATTGGGTGGGAAATTAAGGATAATGAGTGCTGAAGAGTTGAAAACTGTCAAATAGTTAACAAAGCCTCATTTGTTTCCTGAAGTGATTTCTTAATATTAAATAGTAGGGATCTCTTGTGTATGGGAAATCAAGGATAATAAGTGCTGAAGAGTTGAAAACTGCAAAATTAGAAAGAGCAAAGTGGAGCAATTTATTTACAACTTTAACTAATTCAGTTGAAATAAATGACCCTAGTTAAAAAAGGAATTCAGAAAACTAGAAGTAAGAGCTAAACATCTATTAGAGTTTGAAAAAAGGGTAAGAGCTTTGATACAAGTTGATGATAATATTGATGAAAAAGAACTGCAGGATGAATTTGAGGCATCCATAAGTTATCAGGACAAGTGGATAGAAATAAAAAGTAAATTTGATGATTTGGTTGAACATTCAAATAAAACTTAGCATGGTGATGATATTTCAGGAACTATCAGTTCTTCAACAGAGAAATTACAAAAAGAAAAGGAAGAAATACTTTCATATAATCTTTTTGGGGATTTTAAAACAAAAGTTCAGCACGATGTCAAACTTGAAAGTTTAACAGGTAAATTTTCAGGTGAAGTTAAGTTGGAAAACATAAAAATTTGCAGTGATATCCCTAGAGCAAATGACGAATGCCTAGATATATTAAAAGGAAAGAATATAACATGGAGCGATGGTGATGGTGGGAGACACGAGCGAATCTACGGGGGGGGGGGGCTTTCGGGCTGAAGCCCCCCCAAAAATGGAAAAATATAACCATGTTTTATGGGAAATTTTTTTTTTAAATACCTCTTAAAGTATTATTGTTCGTGTAATTACATTTAAAATCACTTAAGGAATCACTTAAACACCATTTCATATAGGTAGTTAGTTTCTTTCTGTTTTTCCAAAGTAATTATCGTTATTTTTATGAAAAAAAAAGGTTTCGGGCTGAAGCCCCTCCCAAAATTAAATTCTGGATCCTCTAGTGGTGGGAGAGACAATCAAGAAGTGGAGTTGATTCTTGCAGCAGATGTTATGGGACAAAACATGACAGGAAGGTTAGAACCAATAACTGTAAATTTGCGCTTCGACTCTAGTGCAAGTTAGTCTCACCATTTAGGGCTTTATTTACTGTACATAGAGTGTGAATGTGATCTGTTAACACTATTATAAATGTCCTTGAGACAGATTGTAATATTTTTCAATAAAAAAAAAATTGTCATTTAGGGCAAGCTGGAATATATTCGACCCATTACAATAGTTTACAAAGGGGTCATCTAGATGATGGCACTAGCAAGAAGACCGGATCAGTACCAGTTAAAACAATAATTCCACGCATTGTATTACCCCCTGGAGTAAAAACATCTGTCACACCTCCAGCTCAAAACAGTCTTCCCAGGAGCATCACAAGATATAATATCAGGTCTGTCGTTAGCCAAAGATCCCATTCAGAAGTAGATCTTATTCAGAAAAGTACAAGGAGAGGAGTACAAGTAACAACAGGTTGGCACTAGCGGATCCAGGATTTAATTTTGGGGGGCTTCAGCCCGGAAGTT